CATTCAGTCCACAGGCTGCATATAAAAAAAAAAACAAAAAAAACATAGCATATACAGTAATACTTACAAATAAAAATCCATTGAAAATGGATTTACAATTTTTTTTTCACAATACTAAGTGTATGTCAGTGATGATTTTTAAATGTAATTGCCGTCTTTTTGTTTCTTCACTATAGCTCACAACATTAGCTGCCAGTTTCCCTAGAACTAAAGGATACTTTGTATCTTTTAAGAAACTGAAAGGAAACATTGTAAAAACTTGTTATAACTTGGGGAAATAAACTAAAAGAAACATGCTCTTTAGCTGGAGGGGGAAAGTGACAGATGAATTTCTGAAATACCGCATGAGTTAATAAAATAATTTGTGCGGTATTTTAGTAGCGTTTACTGTTTTTTTTGACCTTCAGAACTGATTAATTGGTTTTCAATGCTTTCCTATGGGAAAAAGTGTTTAGGTTTACAAATTTTTTCGCTATACGAAATGTCCTGCAGAACGAATTAAATTCGTAAACCAAGGTACTGGTACTTCACTGGACTTTGAACAGTTATACCAGGATGATGCCTACAGCTGCAGGCATCATCCTGGTATCGTTTTTTTCAGCCGGCGATCGGCTTTCATGTAAAAGGAATCCTAGTGCCTAATTAGCTGCAGGATTGCTTTTACAAGAAGCGGGAGACGATGCCCGCCCCCCCCCCCACTGCCTTCCACGGCCTTCTCGGGCAGTCCCGTGCCATCGGGGCAACCTGAGAATGCAGCCGGTGTTTCTGCCAGAATGGTGCCAATCATCTCTATAGCCCAAGAAATCGGAAGCTACAAGCATTTCATCACTTCAGTTTCACGGGATATAAACAGCGCCATTTGTAAATTGGGAAAGCATCTGATCACACCGATCTTGGTTTGATTAGCTAACGTAAGGGCAGAGGAGAGATCTAGAGTCTGATAGAACCCAGATTTCTCAAAAAAGAATATATGACAATGCCCATTGAAGTTATAGGGGATATTTGCATTCCCTGTGATCGCATTAAAAGTGAGCAAAAAAAAAAAAGAAGATGAAGGGGACAGTGTAAAAATAATTAAAAAAATAAAAACAAGTACCCTCGCCCCTCCGCGCAACTGCGTATGTGAGCGTTAACCCTGTGCCAGTATGGAAACAGCGGTTGCACCATGCATGTGAGGTATCACCACCACAAACGTCAGATCAATGGCAGTGATTCTAACACTAGACCTCCTCTGTAATTTAAAATGGTAGCTTGTAAAAGGCTTTTAAAACATTGCCTATGGATATTAAAAAAACTTATGCAGATTGTCTGCACTTTTAAAGCATTTCATGTTTTGTATCTATTTAATCGGCATACCATCATCTTTTATATTTTACCAAATAATTGGCCAATATTTTGTGTTTTTGTGCATGAACAGTAAAAAGTGTATTTTTTTTTTTGTGTTTGAAAAAAATCGCTGCGCGAGTACTATGTGACAAAAAACTGCAGCACCCACCATTTTATTCACTAGGGTGTTTGCTTTAAAATAAAATGCCCCCACCCCCCCCAAAACGACCCCTTTTTGTAAAGTAGATACCCCAAACTATTTGCTGAGAGGCATGTTGAATCAATAGAAAAATGTATTTTTTACCACAAGTTTTTGGAAAATGACAATTTTTTTTTTTTTTTACAAAAAATTCACTTTAATGATGTATTGCTCACACATGCCATGGGTATATGTGGAATTACTCCCCAAAATACATTCTGCTACTTCTCCTGAGTATGGGGGTATCACATGTGACGTTTTGGCAGTCTAGCCAAGTACAGGACCCAAAATCCAATAAGCCAAAGGGCTTTATTTCCCCATTACACTTCCTGACTACCTATCACAGTTTCGGAGGCCCCGAAATGCCAGGAAAGCACCAAACCCCCCCAAATGACCCCTTTTTGGAAATTAGACACCCCACAGAATTTAATCAGAAGCATGGTGAGTATTTTGCAGATCTTGTTTGTTGCCACAAGTTTTTAAAAATTTAAGAAAAAAAAACCAAACATTTTTTCTTTGCTTTTTTTATATTTCAAAACCTTGTGAGAAAAATGAGATTTGCAAAATACTCACCATGCCTCTTTTTAAATTCTATGGGGTGTCTACTTTCCAAAAAGGTAATTTGGGGGGGGGGTGCTATCCTGGCATTTCAGGGCCTTCAAAACTGTGATAGGTAGTGAGGAAGTGAAATGAGGAAGTTACGCACCTTCAGGCTTTCAAAGTGGTCATTGGATTTCAGGCTCCTGTATGTGGCTAGGCTCCCAAAAAAAGTCTCAAACACGTGGTGCCCCAATACTCGGTAGAAGTAGCAGAATGTATTTTGGGGTGTATTTCCAGATATACCCATGGCTTGTGTGAGAAATATATCACTTAAATGACAACTTTGTGTAAAAAAAAAAAAGTTTGTAATTTTCCAGAAACTTGTGGAAAAAAAATAAATCTTCCATGGACTCAATATGCCTCTCAGCAGATAGCTTGGGGTGTCTACTTTCCAAAAAGGGGTCATTTGGGGGTGCTTGTACTATCCTGGTATTTTAGCACCTCAAGGAATGTGATGGGCAGTCAGAAAGTAAAAGCTGCGTAAATCCCATTATCTATACCATAGTTTGCAGATGCTATAACTTTCACGCAAAGCAAAAATATATACTTATTGGGATTTTTTTTACCAAAAACATGGAGCAGAATACATTTTGGCCTAAATTTATAACTAACTGAGTTTACTATATATTTTTTATAGCCGAAAGTAAGTTTATGATGAAATTTTCGTTTTTTTTGTATATTTATGTCAGAAATGAGAAAATATAATTTTTTGTTTATAGCGCCAAAAATAAAAAGTGCACAGGTGATAAAATACCACCAAAAGAAAGCTCTATTGGTGTGAAAAAAAAGGACATAAATTTCATTTATGTACCATATTGCATGACCGCGCAATTGTCAGTTAAACGAGTGCAGTACTGTATAGCAAAAAACTGGCGTAAATTGCAGTATCTATACCATAGTTTGTAGACGCTATAACTTTCACATAAAGCAATCAATATACACTTATTGGGATTTTTTTTTACCAAAAACATGTAGCAGAATACATTTTGGCCTAAATTTATAACTAACTGAGTTTACTATATATTTTTTATAGCCGAAAGTAAAAAATATGTTTATTAAAAATTTTCAGTCTTTTTTTGTTTATAGCACGAAAAATAAAAAGCGCACAGGTGATCAAATACCACCAAAAGAAAGCTCTATTGGTGTGAAAAAAAAGGGCATAAATTTTATTTGGGTACAGCATTGATCGCACAATTATCAGTTAAATTAGTGCAGTGCCGAGTAGCAAAAAGAGGCCTGGTCATTAAGGAGGATAAATCCTCTAGAGGGCAAGTGGTTAAAAGACAATATTAAAATTTGATCATGCTACTTAGGTGTTGTTTACACAGACACTGAAAACATAATGCCTGTCAAAATGGGCAGCGTTAGGGTCTGTTCAGTTTTATACTGAGGTGTGTTGCGTGACTGCAGCCCCTTCAACTGAATGGGCTTCTCAATTTGCCTCGTGGTTTTTTTCATTTTTTATTTTTAATAAATTGCAAATATTTAAAAACAAACTTCTTTCACATTGACATTATGGAGTATTGTTTGTAGAATATAAAGGGAAAAAAAATGAAATTAATCCATTTTGGAATAAGGCTGTAACATAAAATGTGGCAAAAGTTCAGCGCTGTGAATACTTTCTGGATGCACTGTATATCAACCACAATGAGCACATGTAATGCCATGCTGAAATATGACCACTATTTTGCTTTCAAATCATACATTTAGTGCATTGTGGGGCAGATAACTTTATAAATGCTACACAAACATCTGTAAAGCATCTGTGTGCCCCTCCATATACGTTTTTTGGGCACTGAAATATGCTCCTGAATAACAGTGATGGGTACGTTTTGCAGAAATAAATATGCCTTGTGACATAACCATAACATACTAAGTTACACCTCTTGCACATGGGTGAAAAAAAACAACTCATTTGTAGCAGTATATATTTTTTTTGATGGATCTGAAACACAGGTGCATTGTTCTCTATGGGACAATGCACACAGCGGTGTAACGATCCGTAATATAGCAGTGTGTTCAGAGACTTAAGCCAGCCAGAATTCCGAAAGAATCTTCCTTTCTAAAATCTTTTCTAAGAATTTTCGTTTGAATTTCACATCATTAGTGGGCCACAGCATGGCCGATTTTCAAGCGACCATCGAATTTGAGTGACAGGCATAGTGGAAATGTTTTGAAAAACAAACAAATTTCTAATCAATGATGGGAGAATCGTGCCAGAACTGTAATTGAAAAAGAAATGAGCATAAGCTGTGATCTGGAAAGAAAAGACAATTCTTGGCTTGGGAACAACTTGGTGTCACTGACATCCCCCCCCAAAAAAAACCTATAGCAGCAGAGTTTAATTCTGTTTTTTTGGCCATGTAAACCATTTTAAAAAAATTATTTTCAGCCTTGCTGTAACCTCAATAAGCTACCAAATCTCTCCTTTACCCCCTCACTTCTGTTTGGTCGGAACGATCAGTGAACATTGATTGCAGTTAAATGCATTGCTCTATACACACCACATATCCATAGTCCCTAGTCCATGTAAAGAATGAGCAAGAGAGGGCGGCTATGATCACAGTATTAAACAAACAAACAAAAAAAAATAGTGTCAGAAAATTTTTTTAATGCTGACCTATATATTTTTCCAGGTTGGAGACGCAGACCACACTAGAATGTCAAAGTACCCTAATGAAAGCAAGGTAACTAGCATTTTTTAAAGGAGAGTCCAGTAATAGCAGCCGCCATTTATCGCTCATGAGGGTGTCTTTTTTAAATCGCCCAAGATTACAGAAACATGGTTAGTAAGATGATATCATACAGACAGGTATACAGTCAACTAATCATACATGAAGCAAAAAGAATAAAAAAAAACACTTCTGCAACCTACACAAGGCATGGTGTTTTCATTCTGAAGATTGATCTGTCGCAGGAGGCGCCTCTCATAGTCTTGGTCCATGTGGACTCTGGAGGTACGAGACAAGAGTAAAGGGCACTGTACCACAATGTTCAGTTCTTCAGGGTGGGGTCCAGCAGGTGCCCAAAACGCCAAGCTAAGAAAAGATATACATAGTAAATCGATAGTTAAAGCCCCCAAAGATGTTAATGCCCAAATCAACCATCAAAACAAAAAACAAGGGTGCATCATCACACCAAGCTGGGCACGCGCAGATCAGCACTAAGACATTACATGAGCGACATTGTTACATAGTAACAAAAAGACAAAAGTCCACCTAGTTCAACCAAAAAAAGTCAGCAGTTCAGGAGTAGAGGTCAGATGCCTCTAGAGGAGAAAAGAAGGATCTCTCATGTCACTTGAACAGTGAGAATTACAGGATTTCATATACTCTGTAAAGAATTTTCTATTTAAAACAAACAATAGGAAGGGGACAAGGCCACAAAACGTAGTTAGGCTTTAATCAGTGTCATAATTCAAATACAACAGTATGAATAAATCATACTTAAAGCAGAGCTCCGGTGAAAAAATGTCAGCATCTACAAAAACTGTAGCCGCTGACTTAACCACTTCCAGACCGGACACTTTTACCCCCTTCCTGACCAGGGCAATTTTCAGCTTTTAGCGCTATCACACTTTGAATGACAATTGCGCGGTCATGCAACACTGTACCCAAATGAATTTTTTATCATTTTTTTTAGATAGATAAAGCTTTATTTTGGTGGTATTTATTCACCACTGGGATTTGTATTTTTTTTGCTATGTAAATGAAATGTCCAAAAAATTTTTAAAAAAGTGTTTTTTTTATAGAATTTTGCAAATAAATAATATTTCATCATAAATCTTAGCCAAAATTTATTCCGTTATCTTTTTAGTAAAAAAAAAAAAATCCAAATTAGTTTATAAGCAAAAATTATAATTTTTAAACATTTTTTTTTACATTTTTTTATATTTTTTTTTTTTTTTTTTTTTTTTTAACATACTGTCACCCTAGCAGTACAGTGTCACCAGGTGACACTGTACTACTTGTGAGGGGTGATAAAGATTTTTTTTTTTTTTTTTTTTTACACTGATTGCTTTTACACCCATATAGGATGTAAAAGCAATCATTTTTCTCTTTCTCTCTGTGTGCATTCCTGCACTCATTGAGAAATACAGAGTGAGCTGTGATTGGTCACAGCTTGTCACGTGGTACAAGGCTTTTGTGAATAGCCTTGTACCATGTGACCTCTGTGATCATTCACAGATTTCACACATAGTAAGCAATGATGTCACAAGTGACATCTTGCTTACTACTTTGCATGTGATCACTGATTGGCCAATCAGTGATCACATGATCGGGACCTCGTACAGAGGTCCCGTCCGACGATCGGCGTTTCACTGTGTCCGGAGGACACAGCGGGCACCGGATCGCGGTGCTGCGCGCTCCAAGGGAGCGCGCACAAGCAGGGTGCGGGGAGGCCGTTTATAGACGGCCACCCGACCCTGCAGTGCCACCGTCCGGCCGTTTATATACAACGGCCGGTCGGGAAGTGGTTAAACAAAACAGCCACTCACCAGTCCTGCGATCCAGTGTTCTCCCCTCAGCCAGGCCATCCTATGTCCCCAGCTCCAGCATAAGTGTGGGCACCAGGCTGTGTCAGCTTGTGGCTTCACAGGTGGGTGCCCACCGTGCATGCAAATGGTCCTTCAGTGTTCTGGGAGCTGTCACGCATCCCAGAAGACGGGGGGTGGGGGGTTGCCTGTCCTTAAGGGGGAGCAGGGGATGAGGCCTTAAAGTGGAACTTCCCCTTTTGGGTGGAGCTTCACTTTAAAACACAGAATGAGCGCTTTAACAAATACAGCAGTAACATAACTTCTTGCCCAATTACATGTATTCAAGCCTTTATCCTTTACAACCACTTTAAGCATGACATGCCTTTGCTGAACTGTAGGACAACCAGAAAATTTCTACACTCATTGTGAAAAAAGAATTAACATAATAGATATTAGCAGAAAAAAGTGCAACATATGCAAATAAGATCAGTTTTGGGGGCCTTCAGGGAGAAATATTCCTATTACGTCATATTTATTCTCTAAAATTCCACTGCAAGTTGACATGAGCTATACCTGCACTCTAGTAATAATGTAGTTCAGTGTTTCTCAACCTTTTTTTCATTCAAGGCACCCTTTAAAGTTCTGTACAATCTTGAGGCACCCATCACTCAATGTAAAAATTAAACTATTAGTTTTACAGAACTCAGCAATATCTACACGTGGGACACACAACGTTAGAGGTGATTTTTCTTCCAAAGCAAATACACCTTTGCACACTGGTACTAACTAGTATTCCATTGTTTCTCCTCTCCTTCAGTTTCTCTCTCACTCAACTAATGTGACCCCAGTGCTGATGGAGTGCAGGTGTGGGGGAAAGCAAGGATATTGTGCAGTAGCCCAATGTCCTTAACTGATGACATCATTGATTTTTGAAGAAAGTTGTAATGCTGCACAATGAAAAATTAGACAGACCGACGTATTTCATAAGAGGCATGGCGAGTTTTTTGAAGTTGTAATTTTTTTGTCATAATTTTTCAGAAAATTAAAAAAAATATTTTTACAATTTTTTTTTTGTACATACTGTCACCAGTGCAGTACAACATCAGCATATAACTGGTGTGGTGGTGATCAGGGACACTGACTGGTGACAGTATGAAAAAAAAAAAAAAAAGATAATTAAATTTTTTTTTTCTCAAGATTTTTTTTTTCATATTGCTCTATGACCAAAGTAGTATAATGTTACCATAGTAACATTGTACTACTTTGGGGAAGCGATCAGTATTTTTATTTTTTTTACACAATTTGATTGCTTATATCAAATTATTTATTTGCTATAAGCAAGCATTTAACGGAATGAAATCGATTAATTCAGGGTTTTTTTTTGTTGTGATTGGCCACGGCTAATCACATGACACAGATAGGCTGTTATTGGCCCAGCCTGTGCATGTGATTGCTGTGACCATTCACAGCTAGACACAAATGAAAGGTATGAAAGAAAGCCATACATTATATACAACGGTCATGTCACCTGCTGTGATTGGTTACATACAGCAGGCCACATGGTACTGCCAACGGGGCCGGTACACAGATCTGTCATTGGCCGTGTCCGAGGTACATGGCCGGTGACAGATCTCGACACAGCGTGGCCCTGTGGACACGAGCAATGCATGATCTGGCAAGGACGTCATACGATGCCCTCCCGGAGGGACGATGTGTTCGCCCAGCCGTCATTTGACCATAGGCCGGGCGGCAAGTGGTTTACTGACAATTGCACAGTCATACAACGCTGCACCGAAGTTAAATTTATGTCCTTTTTTCCCCCACACATTGTGATTTCTTTCGGTGGTATTTGATCGCCTGTGCATTTTTTATTTTTTGCAAAAGAAAAGCATCCCTACAACATGATAGGTTTAGGGTAATATGCAGTGTTAATTTTCCACCACACGTAGCGCTTTGCTTTTAGGCCAAAAAGTTCAATTTTGATCTCATCTGACCAGAGCACCTTCTTCTGCATGTTTGCCATGTCCCCTGCAAATGGGACGTCTTATGGCTTTCTTCTTATCACTCTCCAGATTTGTGGAATGCACAACTAATAGTTGTCCTGTGGAAAGATTCCCCCACCTAAGCTGTGGATCTCTGCAGATCCTCCAGAGTTACCATTGGCCTCTTGGCTGTTTCTCTGAATTACGTTCTCTTTGCCCAGCCTGTCAGTTTAGGTGGCTGGCCATGTCTTGGTAGGTTTGGAGTTGTGCCATACACATTCCATTTTCGGATGATGGATTAAACAGTGCTCCGTGAGATGTTCAAAGTTTGAGATATTTTTTAATAACCTAAGCCTGCTTTAAACTTCTCCACAACTTTATCCCTGACCTGTCTGGTGTGTTCCTGGCCTTCATGATGTGGTTTGTTCACTAATGTTCTCTAACAGGCCTCTTAGGGATTCACAGAACAGCTGTATTTATACTGAGATTAAATTAAACACAGTTGAATTCTGAAGGCAATTGGTTCCACTAGATTTTAGTTGGGAGTATCAGAATAAAGGGGGCTGAATACAAATGCACGCCACACTTATCAGATATTTATTTGTAAAACATTTTGAAAACCATTTATCATTTTCTCTCCACTTCACAATTATGTGCCACTTTGTGTTGGTCTATCACATAAAATCCCAATAAAATAAAATTTACGTTTTTGGTTGTAATATGACAAAATGTGGAAAATTTCAAGGGGTATGAATACTTTTTCAAGACACAGTAGATCTGCGATAAGGTTCCAATATGCTGTGCATACAAGTACATTATGACATAATGCTCACAGAGCAATTTTTTTATTCTTATGCTGATGCCCAGGGTGGTCTTAATCTCGCTTTATTGCAAACTTCAGTTCCAGTATGGGAATGATAAAAACATCTTTATAGGAGTGCTGCCTATCACTTTAAGCAAGCTTCTAGGCAGCCAACACGTTCCAAGTAGTACTGAAACGTATGGATCCCTACTAGCAATTGGTTTAAATTGCCAGTTTGCACTTCCATTAAGATCGGTATTTAACCACTTGCCTACAGGGCATGCATACCCCCTTCCTTCCCAGGCCAAATTTCAGCTTTCAGCGCTGTCACACTTTGAATGACAATTGCGTGGTCATGCAACATTGTATGAAATTTGGGTCTTTTTTTGAGACAGACAGAGCTTTCTTTTGGTGGTATTTAATTACCTCTGGGATTTTTATTTTTTTGCTAAAACAAACCAAAAACTGAAAATTTTGGAAAAAAAAAATATTTTTTTTTCTTAGTTTTTGTTCTAAAATTTTGTAAATAAGTGATTTTTCTCCTTCACTGATGTGCACTAATGAGGCTGCAGTGATGGGCACTGATAGGTGGCACTGGTAGGCAGCACTCATATGGCACTGATGGGCACTGGCAGGTGGCATTGATGGAGCTACACTGATCATCAGTGTACATGTCCCCTCTG